ATTGTGAAAGAAACGGCAAACTAATAAAAGATTTAAAGGACATCTGATATTTTTTATAATAATAAAAAGTATCTCAAATGGTAATTTTGTTAAGAATAACATGATGATTATTCAATTTGAATTTGGATCATGATAAAAATTAAAACTTTTATATTCTTCTCTCGGAGTTTACGGAGTTGTTTATTTAAAAATAATTATTAATACATGTGTAAAATTTATAAAAGAACTAATCTTATTAATAATTGTTAATAATATCAAAAACTTCTTGAATATCTGGTCTATTTTCTGGCAATTGATCCCAACATCTAACATAAATATCCTTATACCACTCGGGTGTGTCCTCACCTGGAATTTCTCTTTTTCCACTATAAACATGTATCGTAATCGATTCTTGAGTAAAATTTTTATATGGTATTTTACCAGTTGAAATTTCCCAAAAGACAACACCCAATGAGTAAATATCTGACTTTTTTGATAATTTGTACTTCGGGTTAATGATATATTGAGGATCGATATGTGAAACTGCTCTCAAACCATCAACATCAAATTGTCTAGTTTTTTCATTTTCAAATTTGCTAAATCCAAAATCGCAAAGTTTGGCGGTACCTTGTGAAATTAAAATATTTTTGGACCGTATATCCTTATGAATTATATTAAAACTATGTAAAAAAATTAGACCACAGGTAATATCTTTACAAAATTTTAACTTTTCATCCCATGTTAACAAATGAAATTTATCAAAGAGATATTTTTTTAGATTTCCTTGATCAGCATATTCAAAAACTAAATGAAGAGGATTGTCAGAACAATACCCATAATAGGTAATAATGTTTCTATGGATGAATTTTAAATTTGAAAAAATATTAAATTCATTTTTATATTCGTTATTATTTTTAACAAATTTTTTGATAACCACATCTAAATCGTACGTTTTCCAATTTGTTTTAACAATCTCTACATTGGTAATTGTATTTTTATAAATCGACTCCTGCTCATCAGAAAAATCATTCGAATTGAATTCGTAGAGTTTTGGCATTTCACACTAAGAAAAAAAAATCAATGTGAAAGGTTTTATCTTGATTTGTTTATTAATTTATTAAAACATTATTATTAATTATAATAATATTTAAATACATTAAAATACATATAGATATAAAACAAAATAAAATGTCATCTGAAGAAAATTTCGATCCAGAAAATATTGTAAAAAAGGTTATAGATCTTTACAACGACGACCAATTAGAATCTGCTTATTTGTTAGCAAAAGAAAATATCGAAAAAATTCCAATAAATCACATGTTTTATAACAGTATCATTTTTTATTTCTCTTTAACTATTTTAAAATTAAAGAAAGATGAAGACATTGCTAAAGTTTATGAATATAGAGATTATTTTGAAACATCATCTAAATATTCAAAAACCAATGAAGAAAAAAAAATTGCTAATAAATTTTTCTGTGAACTTTTTGAAAAAATTCAACATTATGGAATAGAAAGATTAGAAAGCTTATATCTGATGCCGAACACGTATTTAATAAAGGAGATTATGAAAATGCGTATTTTAAACTAAACGAAATTATAGATCAAATTCCTGCTACCCATAATAAATATGATGATG